CCAATCCAGCTCTCTGCTATGGCCTGGGAAAGCAGTAGAAGATGGCCCAAGTGCTTGGGCCCCTGCAGCTGTGTGGGAGGCCCGGAGGAAGCTCCTGGCTCCTGGCTTCAGATCAGTGTGGCTCCGGTTGTTGTGGCCATCTGGGGAGTGAACCAGCGGATGGAAGACCTCTCTCTCTCTGTCTCTACCTCTCTCTGTAACTCTTTCAAATAAATAAAATAAAATCTAAAAAAAAATTACAAAAATTTGTAAAATGCAAAATTTGTACAATATTGATTTGATCATAAATCTAGAATTATTATGAGTCTGTATATTTGTCAAAAATAAAAAAAGAAAAGCAATAGAAGAACTAACTGACTGTAGTAGAAATGTTTTATACTAATACAGTTTACATTATACAACCAGGCAACTATCTCTTTAGCACCTCTTCCAAGGGTCCTGGAAGCACCTGGTATAAACGAGGAGCCCTGTGTCTGTTACCTCTGGCTGCTTCACAGATCATCCCAAAACAAAACAGGTCAAGGACTTCTGAGCTGCCCTGGCTTCGCAGGAGCACCCAGCTGAATGCAGCCCTGTGGGCGGCCCCAGCCAGCCCTATGTGAAGCAGAGTTAGGGTGTCCCTGCTGAGTTTGGTGTAAATTGCAGTCCTGAGTGAATACACAGTGGGTTTTGTTTTAAGCCACTAGGTTTTCGGAAGGTTTTCTGCCCACAACAGAAAGCAAACACAGCCACAGACAACTGCATTTCACCCAGAAGTATGATGCTACCCTAACAGCTCCAAAGACACGTGGTGTTGACTGTGGGGGTCATGTGGCAGGGGAGGAGCCAGAGGTGGGGAGCATTGGTGAGAGGACTGGAAAGTGGTGAGGCAAGCAGGCGTCTTGCAAACTTGGCTGAGACCAGGTGCAAGGTTGCACAGGCCAAGAGGCTCCTTTTGGTGTGTATGTTTAGGTCTTTTTTTTTTTTAAAGATTTATGTATTTATTTGAAAATCAAAGTTACACAGAGAGAGAAGGAGAGGCAAAGAGAAAGATATTCCATTCACTGGTTCACTCTCCAGCCACCCTTTTCGGAAGAGGGTTTCCAGGAGCTCCCCCAGTCCCGTGTTAGTATTAACACCACAACTGGGGGCCGGCGCTGTGACATAGTGAGTAAAGCCGCCACCTGCGGTGCTGGCATCCCATGTGGGTGCTGGTTCAAGTCCCGGCTGCTCCACTTCCAATCCAGCTCTCTGCTATGGCCTGAGAAAGCAGTAGAAGATGGCCCAAGTCCTTGGGCCCCTGCACCTACATAGGAGACTCCGAGGAAGCTCTTGGCTCCTGACTTCGGATGAGTGCAGTTCCGGCTGTTGTGGCCATCTTGAGAATAAAATAGTGGATGGAAGACCTCTCTCTCTCTCTCTCTCTCTCTCTGCTTCTGCCTCTCTGTAACTCTGCCTTATAAATAAACAAATATTAAAAAAAATGAAGACAGTGCCTCTTCTGTTTGCACGCTGGCTCTCTGGGCTAACTATCCTCTGCTGTCCCAACCCTGGTGGACCATTCTCTTCTCTCCTCTGCTCTGTGCTCAGGATTGCTGATCCCCCCACTGCATCACCTTCTCCATTATCAGCGAGTGTCTCACCAGGAAAGTGGTCCCTCCCCGTTTCCCTCTGCTCTGCAAAGCTGCTGCCAGCCAGTGGCCAGCACTGCCAAGCCAGAGAAACTGGCAGGCAGCCCCTCTCTGATGGCCATGAGGTGGTCACAGCTGCCCGTGATTTGGAATTACTGGGGGCTTCAATCTCCTCTTCAGATTTCCTTTACTCTGCCTACAACTTCTGCAAATCATCTCCTCATTACCATACCTGCATTTGAAGCCAATGGAATCCTGATTTTTTTTTTTTTTTTTTTTTTTTGCTGTTACCTGGACCGATAATCATCCTATGCTAGTTCCTGAATTCCAAATCCTGCTCAGTAGAAAGAAAGAATGACTACAGAACAAGAAGTCAGAGATACAGGATTTCTATCTGGAGTTTATAATTTATGAGCTCAGTAACCTTGAACTAATCAATCAAGGTTTTGTGCATGATAATTTTCTCAACTGAATCCAGAAATAATAACCAACTTTGCAGGGCATTGTTTTGGGCATCTAATCCTGATCAGGCTCTGAATCTTGAACACGAAACATTTTAGGCCCTCCTCCTTTTTGGAGTTAGGCAACTATGAAGCCATCAAGGCCAGAATCAGAGTTAAAAATAAAGGCACAAAAGCCTTGAGCTTAAATAAATCTGGCTGTCATTCCATTATGGCAGTTTCCCAGTGGCCGGTAGCATAGGCCCTAGAAAAGGATTCCTGGTGATGGGTAATGGAGCTGGGATTCGGCAGTGGGAGGGACTCTGGCTCTGTGCTAGGGTCTAGAAATGATGGACAGGTAGGTGTGCACTTTTACTGAATGACAAGGGGGTGGCATGACATGGCGGATGGGAGAATGTGTCATGGAGAGGTCGTTTCTGGGCAATCAGATGCCCACTGCAACTGTTCCTGGGCCTTGCACATTACTCACGCCCACCCCTACCCCCCACCCAGGGCTGGCATCCCACGACTGGTCTGCTCTCTGAGAGGGGAAAAGATCTTTGGCACAGCCATGGGGAGCAAGGCTGACGGTGAGGGGAATGAGAGGGCAAGAGAGGTTACAGAGGAGCTAGGACAGAAAGAGATAAAGGAGAAGGAGAGAAAGGAGTGTCTGCCCAGGGTGGCCGAGGCTGCACCTCTCAAACACAAGAGAGTCCAGGGCCTTAGCAAACTGCCTCCATATTCCAATGGTTCTGGAAGGAGGAAGAGGATGGAGCTCAGCTATTTTATGTCCCTATGAGCTACAGAGCAGTGAAATTCTGTTCAAGAGATCCATGTCTGACAGGCTCCAAAAGGTGAACTGGAAGGAGACCTGGGCCGCAGCAGGTCAGGGAGCTGGGAGACACAGCATCTGAGACAGTCTCCGGTTGAGAAAGGAGGTGCACTGGTGGGGAAAAGTGAACAAAGCACAATGAATGGATTTCCTCGGGCAACCTGGAGTCGTGTGTGCCACAGATGGCTCTTCCGCCTGACACTAGGCTCTCAGGGCCCCCCTGGTGGCACAAACCAGCAAAGCCACACCCACCCCCCTTTCGACTCCTAGCACTCAGCTGACTGCCAAGTTCCGGAGGCAGTGGAGCCCATGTCTGCCTTCCTTTCTGCCCATCCACAGTAATGCTCCCATTATCATTATCGCCATCATCAAATGCTACATCTTTGCCAAGTGTCCTTCATTCGCTATTCTGTGTCAAGGAACTAATATTAACAGAGCTCCACTAAATGGCGATTGCTCTGTTTGCTATTTAAATTATGTTATCTAAATTAAGCCTTACAACAGCCCTGTCAGATGTCACAATCCCCATTTTACAGAGGATAGAACATGCTCAGAGAAATAAAGTAATTTGCCCAAGGTCACATAGCTCACCATAGCTAAGTGTGGATTATCATCCAAGCCTAGGCTGCCCCAGGAGCAGAGACCAGCATCCTCCTTCTCTCCCTCACAAGCATGCCAGATGTGGGAGGTCCTCAGTCATTCAGGAGGTTCCATGCTAATTTGTTAAGGGTAGGAGCTAGGGGCAATGTGCTAGGACAAGTAAAATACCCACTTCTGCACGGGCACATGGTGCACGGCTCAAAGCTTAAAGCAAGTCCTAGTTCTCTTCTGGAATGGATGGAGGCTGATCTCATCTTCCCTGCTATCCAAATTCTGTCTGCAGGGGATGTTGGATGCAACGTTGATCGGTTGCTAGTTACAGCTGATTCTCAGCTGCAGCACAAAACTTTGTTCCTTTTAGGAATTAACAACCCTGCCACCCACCTCAGAAATGGACATGCCTAGTGGTCCAGGACCAAGGTTTAGCACTACCCTGAGGTGCTGGGACACTGTGATTTTGATTTGTCCTTCTGATACCAATGCAGCCACTTCCTGGAATGTCAGCATCAGATGAGGTGGGAATTCCTATCCACACACAGTGTGCAGAATGATCTATGTCACTCTTCCCAGTACAGGAGAACCTGCCACCAGCCCTTGCCCTTGTTGGTTCCCCTTGGAGATGGTCCCAAACTGCCCTTGCCCAACTGTACAGCAACAGTCTTCTGCCTTCTTTCTAGCCTCCTTTGTCAAGAACCACAGATTTGGGCCGGTGCTGTGGCTCAATAGGCTAATCCTCCACCTGTGGCGCTGGCACACAGGGTTCTAGTCCCGGTCAGGGCGCCGGATTCTGTCCCGGTTGCCCCTCTTCCAGGCCAGCTCTCTGCTGTGGTCCAGGAGTGCAGTGGAGGATGGCCCAAGTGCTTGGGCCCTGCACCCGCATGGGAGACCAGGAGAAGCACCTGGCTCCTGGCTTCAGATCAACGTGGTGCGCCGGCCACAGCGCTCTGGCCACGGCAGCCATTGGAAGGTGAGCCAATGGCAAAAGGAAGACCTTTCTCTCTATCTCTCTCTCTCTCTCACTGTCCACTCTGCCTGTCAAAAATAAAAATAAAAAGAACCACAGATTTGGATCTCCGTGGGGACAAATGAGTGTTTCTGCAGTTGACCTGAGGTCCTGATACCTTGATGAGTACAGATCGGATGCATCCCTGAGTTCTCCACTGAGAATTCAGAAGGGAAGAATCTGCACACAGTCCCCAGACACTGCCTTGGTGACACCACACTGGTTGCTTCCGATTCAGCAGTCCCCTTGCCACCACCTCGTTTTGCAAGAATAAAATCCCAAGTTGTGTATCCAAAGTGAGGAGGGTTTGGTTGGGATTTTCCATTTAGATCTCTGATTTCACTGCCCCTGTGCCATTTTCTGCCTGACTGTCAGGTTTCCTGCTTCCTTCTCATGATGTGCTTTTCCGGGATGTGGCTGGCTGTCTGCAACGTTGAAGCTGCTTAGCAAATGTTGATAGAATGAATGAGGAATGAATGAATGAATATCATGTAAATGCCTTTAGGGCTTGAGACCTAGATCGGAAGAGCAGGAGGGGGTTAATGACACGGCCGAGGTAAGTCTCTCGGCTTCTGTGAAAGGGGTTTCAGTGTAGGAGAAGAAGGGTCTCAATGTCCGTCTCACGCTCCTGTGCACAGTCTCCTGTGATGACTCAGGGATGGCCCAACTGGTCAGCCACTCCCACCTGTGCTCCCCACCTCAGCTCCCTTGCCACAGAGCCACAGGTGCTTGGGCAAGGCCAAGCTGTGTGCTCTTCCAGCTGAGACATGGACCCTCCAGACTCTTAGCTGAAAAAATTTAAAGGACAGGACAACTTCACCTCCTCCAATATTTGCCCTTATAAAGGAAAATCAACTCCTGGGTGTGTGCCAGTCTTGTATTTTTGACTGGTATCCATATAGGCTCATGTACAAATTCAAAAACCTTCCTTTAGTCTCTCTTTCTCTCTCTCTCTCTTCTTTAATAAAAAAAAATTCTCAGTAACAGGAATCCAGTAAAAAGGTATCTGGCATAAAAGTGATTTCCATTTGTGTAACTGATAGTACACTTAACATAATGCATGTAGAAAATTAGCCTGTAATCACTGCTTCCTTTTGGTTCTGCTTTAGAGGTATTCAAGCCCAAGGGACCCCTCTAGAGAGTACCCCCCAATCTCCCCTGGGATCCAGCCCCTACTCCTTCTCGTCATCTTGGGTTCTGTTGTCTCCAAGGAAGAAAATGAGGACATTATGGCTGTTGAGATGCTACGTTCAGCCAGCTAGGGGTTCATACAGAAAAAATGATTGCACGGCGTCTGTGCCTGATTTGGGATGATTGAATGGCTTGAATGACCTTGCAGACTCGTGGAGGAAATGTCGAGGCTGGCAGCACCATGAGGACATCCTCTTGTCCTGCCTCTCTTGGTCTTTCATTGCCAAGGGCAGAAGATGGACTATGCTTTCCTCAGTGCCCTTTTGTTGGGCCCAAAAAGAGGAGTCAGCAAAATGGAGGAGATCACCAGTCCTCTGAGGCTTTTATGTAGCATAAAATGCAGCAGGAAGGAACATGTCTGTGTTTCGGCTGGATTCCCGCCGCCTCTGAGTCACTGTGTGTGCAGAGAACCATCCAAAAGGCCCTGGCCAGAGAGACCTGAGGAACAGCCCCAAGGCATCCAGCAGATTCTGCCTCTGCTTAAGAACCTGACTTCATCTTCTCCATATCTTGCCTTCTTTCTTGGATCCCTTCATACAAATTCAAATTTCTACTCTGGGTTGGCTGCTTCTTACTAACTTTGGGACCACGAGCAAATATATCACTATACAGCTCTCAGCCTCAGTTTGCACATTCATTGCAAATGGGAATGTAATATCTATTCCTGAGAGTTGTGTAAGGATTGACTAAGAATGCAGGTGACAGTTAGGTGTAGACCCAGAGTCTTCTGTAGATACATGCTACTGTGGAAAGCATGGAGCTTCTTGGTATTTAGTAATTTTTAACACACTCTAAAAAACTTCTTTAGGAAAGGTAGCACCACCACAGAAGGTATTTCCTGCACTAAAGCCACAGGAGAGAGCAAAATCTCCATCCCTGTTTGAGCTTCTCTCAAACCTCCAACTTCAGCCTTCCAGTTGAACTTGTCAGCTTAGAAAATCCTGGACCTTACATGACCCAGAGTCAGTGGCTCTTCATGCAAAGGAAAATCCTCCAACAATCAGGCAGCACTAAAACTCACATCAGCACTGATTTGTATCTCTCCAAGCATTTGAAAAGAGATCTGATGGATAATATCAAGCAGACCTCTTAAGATTCACTTTCCCCCACTCCTCTTGGGATTATTCTGTCTCACATATCACAGCTGCTGGAAGCTTCTTCCCCTCCAACCCCCATGCTCAACTTTACCCCCACAAATCACGCCCACACTGGATTTGACTTTTCTTCCCTTCTCCTGTGCTTTGTCTCTGCTTTTTCTTCTCTCCCTTGAGTTTACGCCTTCTACTCCCATACTCTAGTTCTCTCTCTGCCTATCCAGAATCCCAAATTTACATCACAAAAGCTTATCACAGATGACTAGCTTATAGCAAAGGTAGAATTCTCTTTTGGAGGGTACAGAGAATAAGGGGAAAGGAGAAATGGAATGGACAAAAATAACATTGTCTTTGTCAGTCAAGACAGGGCAGGAGACTGTGAAGATTCACATATTAATGATGGTTGTCACCATCAAATGTGACCAAGGACGCATCACAGAGCAGTTGCAGATTCTACAGCAGCTCACCCAGGGAGTGTGTAGACAAAGGAATACCAGCACACCCAGGTGAAAGCAAGAGAATGCACGCATTTGTCAGTCTGTTGGATGAAAATCTGAAATGACTTTTGTCCATGAATATGCATCAAATGTTTATATGTCTCAGCTACCTTCAGTGGTGCTCTATACATGGCTGCTACATGGTGAGATCTGCTCCATGTGAAACCTGAATATTGTGATGAGGAACCGAGAGATGGACAGAGCTTTAAGAATGTATAACACATTGGGGGGAGTGGCTTCTCTCCATTACCCTTGGTGCTGGGGCCAAAGGCCATGATCTTATAGAAAATAAAAGGTAGCTCTAATGAATAAGACATGAAAGGGGGTTTGACCATTAGTGGTCATTAATGATCCCATTCCCAGGGCCATTAACCTTGGGTTCCTTGGCATAATTCCAACTAGGTTAATTACATACCGCCTTCTCAAAGTCCCTCCCGCCCTGACAGCTGTATTCAGTATGGTTGTAAGAAATGTTAATGGCATCTGTCTTCATTATTAACCTGAGGATGATGTCTTCATCATTGACTCCCATATTTTAGCATTTCCATTATGAGTCAGGAACCTGGGGTAAACTTACAGTACAACCAAGGAAATCAGGTTTTCTTACCATTCCTTTAGCTTTATGGTGTCCCAGAGAGGCAGATACGACATCTTCTTGAACCCAAGAGGAGACTGCATGACTGCATTTCAAGGAGAAGATAGCACTGCTAATGATGCAGAGTTCATAATGATTGTAGGGGTGCTGGAATGTTTCTCATCTATGGTCTCATCAGCTGCTGCCTGCAATGCTAACCACATCCAAAGTTCTCCCTCTTCTCCGGCATCATCCAGTACTTCAACCCTTCCTTCACATGCCTGGGATCAGCTTACGACCCATCTTCTGCAAGCCTTTGCCCAGAAAGCCACACACAGCCAGGGATGACAATCATGTAGCCATAGAGACTGGAGGTACACACTGACATGGCCACTGGCTTCAAAAACTCTGCAGAGATGCTTCCAAGTCTATCCGATATCTCACGTTATTCAAGTCTCTACAATTGTCTTCACCCTCCATATTTTCCTGACAAATATTCACTTCAAACTCATGGTTTTGGAAGACCATCTTGTCTCCAAATTCTCTGAGGATATGGAGGCCAATAGACACGCTCTACTCAAATTTCCACAATCCTCCATCATTATCAACAACCGACTGCATGTGTCCAACCCTGCCTGCTCTCTCATGCCCCTTACTCAGGCATTGTTTGGTGTAGAACACTTTCCAACACCTTCTCTCCTCTGCCTCACAGGCCCAATGCACTCCATTTGCACCTCGTCAGTGATTTGCACAACCTCCTCCCCCAACTTCCCCAGCTATTTCTGAAGGCCACCATATTTTCCAGCTCAAATTTTGCATGGGGATAATACATGAACCTGGATGGATCCAGGACACAAAGTGAGAAGAACCTTCAGGGGATGCAGAGAAGGGTGCTTCCCCAGCCTGACAAGGTGGGACCAGAGCTGGATGCTCATCGCCACAGACCACACTTTCTCCTGCATCACGCTCACCTGAGAATAAGGGATGCCCTTTAGGGCTCTTTGCCCAGTTGTCCATTTGGGAGGCTCACTGCTGTTTCCTACAATCTGCTCTATAGGAATCCCTTTTATTGTGCTGCTTTATTTTAAACCACCCCTATTTTAGAAACTGCTGGTGCTTAGAAACCAATTCCCGTGCTTATTCCAAAGCATTTGTGGCATTTAGGCACGAGGAACACAAGCTGCATATGAGTTTCATCACTGAAGACCCAAACTCAGTTTTCTCTGAGGCAGGAACAGTCAGGGTCTAGATGATGTCTTTATTTGGTGACAATTCCTAGCATGCAATGGGGGCTTTTGGTGGGTAGAGGAAAGGTCTTCCTGAACCAAGTAACTTGAAGCAGAGTTGTTTTTCAATAGAGTAAGGCAAAAATCTAAGAGGACATCAAACAGTAATCAAGACAAATAGCAATTGAATGCAATATTTAAAAATAAAATTTAATGTAAAATTAAAAAAACATGATGCAAAATATATCAAAGGTTTTAGCCATGCTAGGATCAATGCAGTTCCAGGACAAACCATAGAGGATTCACAGGCAAAGGGAAAAAAAGTGGTCATATTGACCACTTCTGTATTGAAAATTTTGATATTTTGTCACTCATGGGGATTTTTAGCATTGGTTTTGATCTATATTTATTTATATTTGTCATGTTTGTTACTGGATTTTGGAACCCCTTAAAATCTGTGAGGCACTGAAAATGACTGACTTGCTTCATCTTCATTCTGGCCCTGCTGTTTCCACACACTATCACCTATGCCTCCTGCTACCTTTTTAAAATTTTTAAAGATTTATTTATTTATTTGAAAGGTAGAGTTACAGCAAGACAGAAAGAGAGAGAGAGAGAAAATGTGATCTCCCATCTGCTGATTCACTCCCCAAATAGCCACAATGGCCCAGCCTGGAAGCAAGAGGCCTGGAACTCCATCTAGGTCTCCCACGTGGATGGCAGGGGCCCAAACACTTGGGCCATCCTCTGATGCTTTCCCAGGCACATCAGCAGGGAGCTGGATAGGAAGATGAGCATCTGGGAATTGAATTGGCACCCATAGGGGATGCCAGTGCTGTAAGTGGAAGCTCAACCCACTGCATCATGATGGTCATCCCTCCAGCTGCATTTGGAATCACTCCTTCCCTCCCCACCAGCGGCCACAGCCCTTGGTCCTTTCCTCATCTC